CAAATACTTACAATTTCGATTATTTATTGATACTTATTATTTCCCCCTGTTACGCGGGGTCAAGTAGCTCTCGTACCTCATTGGCGTAGTGGATAACCCTTTAGTGTTTGAAGTCGTGGGTATTGAGTTTAAGTCTAAGTAGGAATGTCACCACGCACTGGGCTGGCGAGTTCTAAATAGGACGAAACGCACATTCTGAATTCCAGTGCCATTCATCAAATGAGTATTAAGACAGTAACGAGGCGTCCGCATAAGAGCTCATCTGCCAACAGAGGTCGAACAATTCAATTCAGTACCACTAAACAATGAAAATTGGTACCCGTTGTACAAGAAATGGCTATAGGGTCTCAGGGGCCTAATAGAGAACGCCTTAGTGTTTGGAGTGGTGAGTAATGTATTCGAAGCCTAGAGGGAACAACAGGTACATCCAGCTGACGAGTCCTAAATAGGACGAAGCGCGCATCCTGGATTCAGCTACCAAGTAAGCTATAATCACAATTTCTATTGCTCTTCATTTATTTATTTACCATAGCCTTTACTTTTTATTCATGCAAACTCTGTCTTACTATGCAGATCAGAAGTGTCACAACTGTAGTCGCTGCATTTTGTGTAACAATCCATGTTAGTCTGTCTGTCTACTTTCTTTTATGCTGCATTCATACTCTCTTTGCTACTAAATTTTTGTGTGGAAAATCTTGTTTTCAAAAAATGCTCAGTACAGAAAAAAATTTCCTTATTATACCGTCATTTTCTAAGTAAATGCAATAACATTTGCAACAAGAGGTTTGTTGTCAACTGTTAGGTTAATATGGGAATTGTTAATCAATAGGATATTGGAAAAATGAATAAAACTGTACACAATTCTTCCATTTCACGAAATTGAATAAAGGAAGAAGGACAATAGTAGCAGAATTAGTATGCATGGATTTCATGGATCCTCTTCAGGGTTTCAATACTTCATTCTTTCTATATTTACTTGATACTGTCTGGGTATATTGTTGACGCACTGAAGTTGTTCAAAGTGATGAATAAATAAATGAAGGTTGAGTTTGCACACTTTGATGAAGTATTTCCAATCAAGAGAATCCAACCTGATCTATGTATTCAGAATGATACTGTTGTCAACAGCTGACGAGGATCTACAAAATATATGCACGTTATTTCTGCTACTATTGTTTTTCTTGTTTCATGCTTTAAAAAAATGGAGATTTCTCAACAAACAGAAAGTAGTTGGATAATAAACTACAGACGAATCAAAATCTTGAGAAAAATTTAGAATTTAACAGAAGAAAATCATTTCTGTATGCTGAATAGGAGAGTGGAATGGTTATTTGACAGATGTAAAAAGACTATAGAAGACACAAAAACCGTATTGAAGTAAATAATAGGAAAAAAAACTGCTCAGTAGTAATAAAATAATCGAAGCAGAATGAGGAATTGAGAACACGGCAGCATACAAGATCGGATGTAATTCCCACTGGAAAGTTCGACGTTGAATTGCTTATATTTTTAGAGTGATTATATCGTAACTCTTTTCCAACCACTTGCCCCCACCATTAAGATAATTTAAACTATTGTAGTACAACTATGTGATCAGTATTTATTACTAATTTTGCACTTATGAACGAGACATACGGAAAGTACGATTGGGGACGATACTAGTTTTTAATTGGTTGTTTTCGATGCAATACTTGGATCTCAAACTAACGGAAAGTAGATGAGCTCAAGTTGCCACTTTTTTACAGTAATATATACAAAAAGTAGAAAAATCAAACAAGAAGGATACAACAAGACATAGAACAACCAAGTGATAACACATAAGATCTTCCCAATTGCGATGATAATAAACAACTACCATTGTGATTGGTTTTGAGCCATTTGGTTAAGAATCACTAAACACAGACACCTACAATCTCACAGATCCCAGTCAGATAATTTATTCTCCTCTATAGAAAAACAAGTGGACGTAGAACCTAGTTAAGAAGTATATCCTTTCATACCATAGGGCTTTACACAAAGACAGTAGATGCACAAAAACAGTATAATATTAAACCAAACGAGGAGAATACGAAACGAGAAAGGAAAATAAACGAAGGAGTAATATATTTGTACACTTAAATTAGATAAGTTTTATACGAAAAATGTGACGTACTCGTACAGTAACTTTGGAACAATTGCACTATTTCGGTTTGTGGGTTTCTGGAGATTTATTGATTGATTTCAAGTTGGTATTCATCATGAACTGACACCAGTTGGAAGAACATTGGAAACCCATAAGCACTAAATAGCTGTTTCATCCTAATATGGGAGTTCTCAGCAGTGGGCACGCATGACCCTACCCTCCAAGGATCGAACCCACCACCTTCAGATTCTTGGCCCCGGGACTTAAAAGTCCTGGGTTCGATCCCTTGTGGGTGGGGCCATGGGTACCCACTGCTAAGGACTCTCATGTTAGGACAAAACAGCTATCCAGTGCCCCCAGGTCTCCGATGTTTCTCTAACTGATGCCAGTCTATAATGAATGCCAACCTGAAATCAATTTGACTGTCACTTATTTTCGAGTCAATTTTTACAAAAATATAGACAATAATAAAAAAGTGAGGGATAAGAACAATAATGAAAACGAACTAATAATAAAACCAGACCAAAATTAGAGATATTGGGTGATGATTGAAGGCAAAATGAAAATTTTAACCGCTGCCGGATTCGAACCAGTGACTACTGGGTAACGAGTCCCAGCTGCTAGTAGTCAGACCAAACCTTTGGCGATTTAAGTGAAATAAAAATCTGGTCAGTTGGTAGAGCATCAGGAAGAAAACCCAGTGTTTATTGGTTCCAACTCCGCTGCGCTTCGAATTTTCATTTCATTGTTAATCATCGCCCAGTATTATTACTAGTCTGCCAAATCACGGTAACCTCAGATAGTCAACATGATAAAAAATAAATGAGATGGATGCAGTAGGACGGCAAGCTATTCGGTACATACAAAGAAGGCTTCAGTTTGCTCTTCCACGAACATTAGAATGCAACCTTGGCTGCTTCTACACAATCTTTGACTTAAGATGAAGGAGCCTGTCCGCCACTTGCGTTTATCACATATCCCTCAGGATTTTAGCTGTTTTTCAAGCCATTTGAGATGTTTTCGCACAGTCAACTGCATGGCTCGATTACTCCTTCATATATCTGTGCATATCATCATAGACATATGTAAACTGGTTAACACAGTGAGATGTGACGTAATTAGTTTATAGTGTCCAGATTGATAAAGGAGCGATACGGTTTGTTTTCTCAACAACGATATGCTTAACTACATTTTCATTTTCATATAAACTAATTCAACAATCATATTATTCCACATGTATTTAGCCAGTACATCAAATTTTTTAGATAAACTTTGTATATTTATTACGCCATCGAAATTAAGAAAGTAGACTGTCCCAAAAAAGATCAATTTAAAACAGTGATTATACTTGTGCCATTATGAACTATTATCAATCAGTTCATCGAAAATACCAAACATAGTACAGAAATTCCAAACTAGCCAATTACTGATCTATATAGAAGATATATGGATGATATCTTCATCGTCTGCGATGAGAAAGTCGATCTTGATGCTATTCTACTTAAACTTAATGAGCGTCATCTCTCTATCAGTTTCACGATGAAAGTCAAGAACAATTCAGAATTTCATTTTCTTGATATCTTACCAAAGAGGAAGCCTGTTAGCTCCTTAAAAAGATCAATTTATAGAAAGTCAACTCATTTCCAAAGTTGGCTACCACTATGTCGAAAAATGAACCTTATTTATTCTATCTGAGCGTAAATCCGAAGAATATACACATTAGAAGATAAGTTTGAATACCTTCGGAAAGTACTTCTTCAGAATGGCTATTCCCCTAAACATGAAGCCAAATCAACCACAAGAACATGAATATTGAATTCAGAGGAAAGTTAATTCAAGGTAGTTTGAAGGACAAACTGACTCTTTGGGCCACATCCATATGTGTCTATCAATTTACCTGCTCTTGTGGAGTTGGTTATGTGAACCGCACAAAGCTCAGCTTTTCCAAACGCATCTCCAAGCCCTACCCTGAGTAGCTGTTCAGAGGAGAAAGCAAGTCATGCAACAGTTATATCTTGGATCATTGGCTCAACTATGGCAGGATCGCTTCCCCACAGTCTTCCTTCAAAATCCTATACAAAGTCAAGGTAAATGGATAGGGGAGGGGTGAGCGGATTCGTTACTTGTGTATGTATAGCAGAAGCGTTAACAATCTAACAATTAAAGTCTGAGCTCTGCGTATAGAAGAGGTACGTCCATTCTCTTATTTCCCCGTGGTCATAATGCTTTCTTGAGTTTGTTTATTGCATCAGTATTCATCTCTCTCTTACTGACTGATTGTCATGACTTCCCATTATTTTACCTTGTACTATGCGGTTTACTTCCCCACATCTTAACTTGTTAGCTCCAATCTCCCACTAAACTGCTCAAAATACTTTACATAGATTATTGATTATAATCAGTCTGGTTATTTTTAACCTGTTTATTTTTTAAGTTATTAGTCATCCCGTTAATCTACTGCGTATTTTTCTTATGCACGCTTGATTACGCAATCGCTTTGTAACTCTACAATCAACCCACTATTTCACCCTTGAACATTCTGTTTTGATAACCTAATGGTCAATAATAGACTGTTCCGTTTGTTTTTTATTACTACAAATACGATGGCTAGTAGGATAGCCACCTGAAATACAGAAAACTGAAGGTTTACCCTCAGAGGACTTGCAACAAAGTAGAACAACACTGGACAACACAGATCAAGCAAGAACATCATTTACCACTCTCAGCTCATGGGCGCTTATCCGACCACTAAGCCTAATAATTAACTTTTTGTACGGAGAACTATTCTCTATGCGTCCAACCTAAAGGGATCTACAGTCATGAAAATTATCAAGCTAAATTCAACCATAAATAACATTTCAAATATCAATATACTTACCTAACAGCTGACTTTGGAACAGAGCCATAGAGAAGTACAGACAAGCCTCGATACAAACCTCGTACACCATAAGAATTCACTGTTTTCTTAACACAATCAATAGGCCCTGAATATTGTCTAGCACTACCCATACGTTCATCAAGTTGCAACTGTGTTTTCACATATTCAGTTGGAAAGGTGATACAAATCTCTATGGCTCCAGTAATTCCGCCTAAATTTGACATAAGCCAGTTTAATAAAATAATATCAACCTGCAATGGCTCCTTTAATAGTCTGTTCAATAAGGGTTGACCTCGACGAAACTTGATTTCCATCAATCATGCTAAAAACATTTAGAAATGGTGTACAAGTAAATTAAATATAAAAGGAATAGTTGATATTTATTATGTAACACTAATGTTATTGTTACCGCCTTGAAACTGTAATCTTATGTGAAAAACCAGGTCGTTTAAGAATAAACAGTGATGAAGATGTATAACTGTTCATTGATTACAACGTAGAACGGTAACAAAGCCTCAAAAATACAAAAAATTGAAAAACAGAACGTGCACATTTGTGCAGAAGGCAATGGGATACACCTATTGTGTAACACATAGTAATACTACCTGGTAGCCTGAACCTCAGTATATGGAGAGGTGTTTGATCTTGTGACAAATACAAAAGAGATCATTTACTAACACCTAACGTGAGTTACAAAAGACCTGAGTAATAAAGTGGTTAAAAGGGTTGGCTAACTTGAAAGAAGGAATGGCCACTTATGCTGCTATTTGACTGTAGACAATTCTGCAACAGATGCTTAACTTCACTTCCCAGGATTTATAAGTATACAGTTTGTGGAATCATATGGAAAAAATAAGATTCCCGAGTAGTGAATCTCAATATTATTCATTTTTCCGTTCTGTATTACAGTTAGGTATGTTAGAAGTTTTGCTGAAGACTAGTTTCTTAAATATTTTTTCCTGAAAATCAGTCTGAGTTTTTACCATTTTGCAGAGTTTTGAGGGTGTTTTTTAAGTTTTACGCCTTGAAAAAGGAGTGGGACTTCCAAGCTTCTGACAATTTCTTATGTTTCTTGTGTTAATCACATCATAGTGTGTTGGTATACTTTAAGTTGGTCTATATACACATCAGTTAAGGTTTTTCTTTTAAATATTTTTACAGGTTCTCTGGCGTTTCGGTAATTCTTTTATATTGCGTTAATCCAGTGTTGGTTTTGCACAATTTTTACTCGCCTCCGTTATTCTGCCGAGCGAGATTAGAATAACTATGGTTAACTCATCTATTAAGTAACGATGGTCAGATTGCTTGTAAAACAAGGAAGATGTCATTTAGTGTGACAGCTGTGATTGGTATTACCGTAAAGTGTGTACTAATTTGAGTCCAATCGATTTCAAAAGGAGTAGTACAATGCATATCTACTGGATGTGTGCGTCCTACAGGTTATGCGCTTCTAGTAATTAAGACATCATTTAGAATGCTGCTATATTGCTTCCCAAAGCAACTTCACTCTGAGATAACACTTACACACCTGATACGAAGAAAAAGCCTACCTCTGACGATGAAAATGTTGCAACGTCACTAAAGAAGAGCCCTAGTAAGCCTAAATGGGAATCAACCCACACTATAGGGAAGGCTGTTGAAAAGGTTGGTAGTACCCGACTTATAAGTAAACAGCAGAGAGACTGTAATCTTGTATCAGATGAACCTGATTGCGTGACGAGACATTTGTGCGGTTGAGAAATAACTAAATAACTCATGCGCAAGATCCTCCCAAAGAATATCACTGAAGTTAGTATTAGGAAACTAATAAGAGCAGATCAGAGAGGTAGTGACAGTGGAGTTCCCAAATGTACATCTCTAAAGCGCACTGAACTCTGTGAACTAACTAGATCAATCACTTACAGATATATAGTTTATGTGTGTTTGTGGATTTAATATGTCCGTCAGGCCTGACTGCCCTCTTGAAGATGAGAAATAAAAAAAGTGCAAGCAGGATTAGAAACCAGGCTACAAAATGAGTGAAAAAAATCCAAAGCTTGTTTTTTCGGACAGTCGGGTCCTGAAGACAAATGATACTAAGAACTGTATGGATAAACCACCCAGCATAAAAAGCTTAAAGGTAGTCTTAACAAATGTCCGTAGTATTAAACTAAAAGTGGTAGATAAACTGAACCCCCCCCCCCTTTATTGTGACCAATACGGAAACTGCGCGTTCTCGAGCTAAGTACAAAGACTGAATTTCGGGGACTTCACTTTCTACTTACAGATCGAGTAAAAGATCGTAAGCAAGGTGAGGTTACACAACATGTTAAAAATTGCCCCAAGATACGTTCTTGGTATTCCATAGCACAAGGCAGTGTGACCCAAGTGATCAGTTGCGAAGCCTCTCTCTAAGGTCATCAATTTGTCATCGATGTAATTTACTGCAACCCGATTCGCCAGTACGATGGCTTTATGTTGAAACACCTTCAGAACTGGAGCAAATGCTACCAATGTCTCGTCTCAAGGAACTTTAGTGCACCTCATGCAGATTATACTCAACTGTCCTCGCCAGGGTCTAGCAACATATTTGACAGCACGTTACACTCCTGACCGTTATGGAGAACGCCTGATACAGAATGCTTTAGTGGTGTATATTTTGCTTTTACCCAAGGCTCCTCACTATCAGGCCTAGTTTTCACCTGTGACTGTTATGAAGTAAATAACTTTGTCATCACCCCTCAACCCAGTAAGTGCTTATCACACAGCGCTACCCTTCAAATTTAGAATCTGGAATATGATCCCTATTTAGATAAAATTGTGTTCAAATGTATGATGTGTGAGCCTAATGTCTATCAGAGCGTAAGCTACAAATACAAACAGGTCAGTAAGTTATGACTGATTTACTGGTGGCGAATGACTCAAGATTAAGGAAATGCTTGAAGTAGCTAAATCCAGTTTCGTCCCCTGGACGATGTTCTGTAGCTAGATAAATTTTCGTTTGTGAATTAATAGGCAGGTTAAGAAACTCCTTAGATATAGACAGAGGTGATGTAGTCTTTTCATATCTGCTGGTTTAGAATCGATTAAAATCAAGTACTATGAGTCTAGGAATTCTTGCAGAACCTTGATCACAGAATCTAAGAAATTATAAGAAATGAAGCTTGCCGAAGACTCACTCTGTTGTCTAAAGAGACTCTTCTCTTTCATCAATAGATGAAGTGAATGAAGTTATGACATACTAACATAAACCCCTGATGACGGTTTGATAAAAGAGGTATCAGATGAGGACTACAACTGAAGTGTTGTTACATTACTTTAGTCAAGCATTCTCGCAAGTTTTTAGTGAGTAATCAGTAACTTTCATCAACTGTAACTGAAGGATGGAACCAATGTTAACTGAGGATAATAGTGTGCTACAGATGCTCAACTCTGGCAAGTACAGTGGCCCAGATGATCTACATCCTCGCATATTATCAACACTGGTAGATATCATCGACAAACTGTTGTCAATCTGTCTAGAACTTCACTGAACCAGTCAAAATCACCCTTTGGCTAAAGATTTTATCATCAGCGTAATCTTTAGAACTAGGCTAATCCATTTATTTGCAAAACTATTCTTCGGTTAGTCTGGTTAGCATAGTTATCAAGTCACTAGAAAGGGTCATATATAGCGTAGTTAAAAAATGTATCAAAGGAAATAGACTTTTGGCTAGTGAACAATATGTTGTCAAGACTGGTCATTTTTACCCCATGAACGTTCTCGTGACAAGAGAATAATAGGTAGCTCCTGATAAAAATGTACCTCCATGTGTAGTATTTATCGATCTCAGCAAGATCTTCGATAAAGGCTATCATTTAAAACTTCTAGAGATGTTTGAGAGTTCCGAGATCGATAAATAGGCAAGGAAATGGATAACGGATTTTGTAATCAACATAAAACAGAGTCACGATATACAGAACATTGTCCATGTGGAAACAAATAATGGGCTGTGTAATACAAAGTACGATATCAGGCCCTCCACCCTTCCTACTCTATATCAATGAACTGTAGGTAAAGGCTATGTTATCTTGTCCTATGTTTGGAAATGATGATAACGTTTGAAGAGGTGTGAACAAAGATGGGGACAGGCTACTCCTACAAGAAGACTTCAGTGCATTAGCTGAGTGGTCAAGTAAGTGATTTCTGAAAGTAAATACTAATAAGTATTTAGAAGTCATTGTCAGCAATAGCCTTAAAACTACATCAACGTGCAGAGCATCAGTTTTTAGAGCTTTGTGAGTGCTACAGTCCACTTTTAAGGCATTTCAGAGTTTTGATGAGGATTTTTCGGATTTTAGGCTCTACATTTATCGAACCTCATCTAAAATAAGAGACCCAAGCAGCGGGACCATATTTTTAATACGAGGCAGATATACCAGAATGAGTTTAACAAGTGGAAACTGAAGTGGTTAACGACTTCTAGATTCTCCCTTATGATGGACAACTAAAAAGCCTTCATATATCTCCGCTATCTTATTGCCGATTGAGAGAAGACTTCATACTACCATATCATGTCGTAAATGATGACTTTGGTACTAATTTGTCTCTTCTGTTCCATCGCTGATCACCTCAGAAAAGATCGCCAAAGGATCTAACAGTCGAATCTCCTCTACGTCTGAAAATACGTTACAAATACCGAAACTGGGGACTAGTGAAATGCCTTACTTAACATATTGTTTCTGCACCTTCCATGGATACTTTCAAAGCAAAATTGGATCTCCTCAGAAGTCAACATCGTAAGAGCTAATATGAGCAACTTGGTTTACTATCCATAATTCTGAAAAGTGAAATGCCAGCTTTGATGATGGAGTAGCTCAAACTACCTTGAAACACTTTATCTATCGCTAAGTTGGTTACAATAGTACTGTTCAGTTATGAAAGTATCATTCAGTGGTTCTAAATCGTCTTTAAAAGCCAATAAAAAAGATAGACATTAGGTGAACGACGGCCAAATACTCACTCGTCTCAAACAGTACATGTGACAAGTGCCTATATGAAAAGCAAAGAAATAAAAGCTGCAAAATATCAGGAGTTTAAGCGGAACTCAGCTACAAAGGAATCATTTACGTGAAAGATTTGTAAAAAACTTTCGGAAAACCATAGGCATAGATCAACTTATTGTGTAATACACGTTCATTGGAAAGTTTCTTATCATAAGCAATAAGCTGTCTTAACTACCCAGGTCTGAGTTACCCGGCAGTATCATAAGCCCTAAAAATGACAAATAGTCCATGTACAGTATTACCGAGCGACCTGATAGTACCAAGGTCCCAAATTGGTCGCATTTTAAAGGTGATATCATATGACTGGACATAAGTAATAAATCTATAAATACTCCGTAGTTACTGCAGCATTCATAGCCCATTATATTCAGAGATAAGTCTATATCAAATCACATATTACGAGCGTAAATGATGAGGTTTGAAAGCTACAAATATCCATAAAAATATGTATGCAAACATGAATTTTCGACATATACACACATATCTAATAACTAAGTAATGGATATAAATTTATAATCAACGCGAAGTAGTGTTAAGCTGAAACCTTTATTCATTTACAGAAATAAAAGTACGATAAAGCATAAAAATAATTATTGGCACATTCTTCACATGAAATCTAAAGTGCTTTTGCAGAAAAGAGTCCATATGTTTAGCCTATAAAATACACATTATTAAAAAATTATATGATGTATATTCCAGGCAATAATCTGAAACCATACAGCAACACCAAGATTCTCTGATACAAAACCTACTACTTCATCTGAAAATGAAACAGTCGCTGAAGATCACATTCAGAGTTATAACTTGGACACATCACCTACTTTGACCTTCAAAACGAGCTAAAATTTGAAAAAGGAGCACAATGAAGTTGAAACAAGTTAAGTAAACAAACAAATAGCATTCTTACAGACTTTCAACGACATTGTAGATATCAAAAATGTGAGTTTTTCTTCAACATAACGTGAAGTTTATGGTTAATAAATAATTCCTGCTACCTTGTCTCTGAGCGACATCAGCAGGATGTAGTTCTATATTGTTCCTTGAAACTTGTGCAACGCTGGATATCCATTCTTGATTTGAATCAACAGAAGATGCTGAAACCACAATTATAGAAGGAAATATAACTATTTTGCACTACGATGCTCAGAAAAGACTTGTAAATGGAAACAATTTAACCTCGATTTTTGGAATTCGACATATCAGTTCTAGAGATTTACAATATAGTGGGTGGGCTAGAACGAAAGACATTACTTGAGATAAGCAACATGTGATCCCTGTTTATTCACCGATAAGACGGAGAAAAAAGATCCGAATAGATTAGTCTCTGCTCACAGAAAAGACTCGAAAAGCACGCAGACATCTGAATCTCCTCTAACATTTTTCGTATATAGCGCATGAGCCAAGCTGTGCTCTATATGTGTCGGGCACATTATCGTAGGCATATTTGGGAGAGCACAGAGCGTTCAAAAAGCCCACTGTGTGGATGCTGCTCAGCTTGATCTGGTTTTAAGGTTATGGTATGCAGTGATCTCCAAATTCCGGTAATCGGAAGTCTTGAATGTTAGAAAGCTAAAAATTGAGTGATTGAGCAGGCGGTTATCGCCAGTGCGTTTCAGTGTGATTTTATGTGTTTTAGACCTTCGGCGAACATTTCTGAAATCAGTCTGCCAAAGTGCTAGGCCTTGGCTAGGCTCTGGTTACTGCCACAAGTAATTTTCTAGGCTATAATATCATATTGGCAGTGGAGAAATGATGACCTGATTTTCGTCAATGACAGAGCAACGCGAAATATGAGCAGAAAGACCCCTCAAAATAGCTCCTTGATGTCTATCACTCTTGTCTCTCATCTTTAAAGAATTATTATGTCTGGCATGTCACCATTAGGCCAATCCCTAGACCCCGTAACCTGGTCAATATTCCTAGGTATAAACCTTGTCGACAGTCTTACCAAGGTCAGTAAATATGTCACACATTAGTCCGTTATTATCAGTCACTTCGATGAGGGCTGTCCCTAGGATCAGTGGATGGGTCAGGCAAGAAAACCATGTCCCGGATTCATAATGCTTCGTAACCGGGATGCTGCTTTTTTTCGACATGTTTTATAAGGAGGCACAGATAATGGCCTTTTATTCCTGCTTTGTGGAGGCATACCGTTTGTACATGAACCGTTAATACATAATTGTATACAGTATCACCAATTATGTCCCCTGAGATCTTTTTAGGTAGCAAAAACCTACAGTTTTGGTATAGGTTTATCACTGGTCACGTATTAGGAGGGTTAAAGTAAGTTAATACGCATATCCACGAGTTCATCTGCTTATACTTCGCACCGTAGCATTAGCACGGAAATCCACCCACATTTACTCCAAATTTTTTATCTAGTGACTGCGTGTCCGTGTTTTTCGAATCCAACTGCACGGAATATACTATCCAACATCCTGACACCCAGCGACTTAAAATCACCCCGCACTGGCGGGCCGTTATCGCTGAGGCCACTGAAAAATGTAGAGAAGAAGCTTACAGTAGTATTGGAGGTACCAAATCCGCTATCGTTACAGACTCATAAGAGTATAACGTCCAACATCTTCTAATGGCAAATATGGGAGTGGTGGTGAACGTTGACGAAAAGATAAAAGGTGCCAGGCAGGATGAAATGTAAGGTTACATAGGTATCTGCTGTGTATAATTGTAGTCCATTCGAGAAGTAGTGTGCCCGTAGGGCAGAATGCTGCGTCATGAAGGCCATTCACATCAAGCTGCTCATGACGACCAAAAAATCAGCTTCAACGTAAACGGATTCGGTGGAAAGTAACCGAGGACATCATTGCACGACAGTCTTTGTTCCCGCACCCCATTCAGGAGTCTCTAGAGTTCCTCGTACAGTTTCGGAATATGAGTAAGTGAGAAATAGGACTGAAATGTGTAGCATCAATAGATGTAACCACCTCTGTTATGGCCAATTCTGGTAGTCATACCAATGACTGCTGCCAGCTAGGATTGGGGTTGCGTCAGCTATACCGCCCTGTCTGCAAGTCCGGCCAATTCTGCTACCTGACACAGAGGTACAAGAATACATAGCGCCGACCAAGAACGACTCTGGAACACTCTTCGTCGGCCAAAATGGCCTCGTTTGCCTTGGAATACAAAACAACCTGTTCTAGTTGGCACACCAACTGGGTTGTGTAACCACGAAACAGTTCCTACACCTTCCACTGGTCTGTCAGAGTGAAATAATTCACAAGGACGAACTGAACGTGGTCACAGACGTTTGTAAGTGGTCATCAAGCACGTCGTAAGCATTCTCGTTGTTTTTCTCGAAAGATCCTCATTAACTACGTTGTACTTAGTTTCTTGAGAATTTGTTCGATCCAGGACAAAATGAGCTTTGACATCCAACTGTGTGCCCGAGTAGGAAATAGTATAAGGACTGCCACCCACACCGAACAATTCTGTTTCTCGGTCACTGCAAAATTACGTGGTGCTATACATGCTAAGAGCTAAAAACCTTAAGCATGTACAATAGTATTAAGGAAAGAGGAAATAGCAGAAAAACTATGTTTTATGCCGCCTGGAAAGATAGACGACAACATTGGACACGCAAAAAGCGAATGGCACTTAGGCCCACCAGCTGCAAGAGACTGGTCACGCCGCCATCAACTTACATGTAACCATTCTCCTATAAATCTGTGCCAAACTAATCGGTATCTTACGTCTGTTTAAGCTAAGGTAACAAAGGACAAATAAGAAGACCCCTTAGGTGCTTAAAAGCTTAGGAAAGTTACGTATTCAATCACATGCAGGTGGGAGATTTTTTGAAGGAAAATTTGTGGCTTATCTGGCCGTAAGTGACTGAAGCAAAAATTCTAAGTTTTTGGCTGTTAGTCAGCATGAATAAGACTCAAAACGGAGATTGCCTGTAAGCAGATGCCTCTACATCTAAACAGAAATTACACGACCGAAAGTAACACCTAATGCCCCAGGCAGTTACTTAGGTGATGTTCAGATGTTCCACCGCTTTATTTTAAACTGATGGTTTCTCGGTGCAAAGAGGGTGCAACAATAGACAAGTTCACAATTCAGCTGCTGCATAATGATCATTTTGGCTTTCCACTCCAAGTTTACGGCTTCAGTTGGAGTAGCATCCAGAAATATAGGTATTAAATGCTGTTTGTACCCTTACATGCAGGTTTTCCGGCCCATGACAGCCACTAACCCCGTAGCGAAGCAAATCGAAGTTGACCTCATACGAAGTGCAGACCTTGAAGATATACTAAATAGTGTAACTATGAAAACTTACATGCCATGGGCCGTGATGTGACAGCAGTTTCTGGACTGAGTACCACCTTTGGCTTATATCATTCAAGTGAATTTTCAGCAACACGGGCCTAAAGAACCGCTACATGCTGCTCGCAGTGAGTGACGACACTTGTGCCACCATTCACTTTTGTCGCATAGCAAAACAGTTGTTGTCTAATATTTGTGACCAGCGCATCCGAATAACTGCATTCTCTACCAGACCATATATGGTAAGACTATGTGCTCTTTTGAGATTTTTTCAGCTTCACTGAGAACAATAACACTCACACATTGCCTGTAAAAGCGGTGTGTTTGTATCATTCATTATTCAAACTAAATTATTATCATTATCATCAGACTGTAAACATCAGCCTCACGACCGTAATGATATACATAGAGACCTCTGTTTTTCTTCAAACGAGCGTACAATGCCCCATCCCTATCATAAATTATCGTTAGGAAGTGTGTCAGAGTTAGTATCAGTGACGGGGACGTTCACTATCAGCTGCTATCACGCCTGCTGTACATCATTACGTTCCGTACGAATATATGTGCACGCTCGGCGCTATAAATCCTACCGTCACCCAATTTTACGATTTTTTAGAACTGACCTGCCACTGGATGCTATTTTATGCCACATTTCAAGAATGTAAACTACCAGTTGCACGTCCATTGTCCGGGTAAAAATCAGTTGAGGTTGCTTGGCAAGAGTGACCCCCACAAATTGGAGTGAGTCAGGTAGCACATAAAGTTCCGAAAGGTAGAATTCATGAATGCGGTTTTTGCTACAGCTGGAGTCGCATTAAGTAGCCCAGTTGGTTCTTGAGGACCCTAAGGTGATACCAGCAGGAGGAAAAGCACGGCGGCCCTAACGCTAGTAGGACTCTGTCGATAGGTTTACAATGGGCAGTTTACCGTGGTTGTCCAGGTTTATTCTGGGGCGTCGTTGAAAAGAATAGAACGACGAATCGTGCGGTGAGCCAACCATGGTCTTCGTAGCGCTTCGACATTCCGTTCACTGCTCGTTGCACCCGGAATGGAAACAAAAGTCTCCACTACCACGCAAAAGATCTAATAAGGCGAAAATGGGAAAAGCCAATATGCCGCATGTAAAACAATAAATACATCGATGAAAACATGGAAAACAAAAAAATTTTTTGAAGACGTTTTGGCAACCTGGTGACAAAAGGCAATCCCAAGACAACTAAATGTAGGAAGAGTTCCACATCCTTGATGAAAAAATGGTGTCCAGAAGAAAAACTTTTGGAAGATGAGGGGCTGGTGAATGCTCGCAGGCATCAAGCAGTTAAATATCCATCTAAATGTTCCAAAAACGCAACGGCTCGACCTGAACGTGTCTTTCGGCGTACAGAAGATAGACGTGTGCCAACTATGTTGAGGTCCTTTGAAAAATTCTGCAGTCAAACCTTCCACCAGGTGGCTGCTGTGGAGCATAGGGTGCCAGTCGGCTGTTGCTTCAACGTCAGAGCATCGATATTCACCGTGCGGACGTAAATCGTTGCTATCTTCTAGTTGTATGATGTGAAAAGGCTAT